ATTCCTGCTTTTGTTTTTCTGGAAGCACATTCTGACCTGCATTTATTCATTCTGTTGCCTAAGCAACAACCATCACACTCCTATTAAGTATGATTTAGTAGTACAGGTCTTGCTAGATGTTCAGGAGAGGGAATATCACAATGATATAATTAATGTCCATGGAATAACATACATCTGAGAACAAATATATCCTATTTATACTACTCTCAACAGCAAAATTCTATTAATTACATTAGCTTTCTAATAAAAAGGTGGTTTTCGGATAAAAAGATTTCACGGTTAATCATTCATTAGATCATAGAAATTAACTCCTTGTGTTTAGTCTGCCTTGGGTATTAGGAAAGTTATTCACCAGACTATGCTTAGAATTAGGAAGATTTTTTTATGTTACCTGAAGTGTGTGGACTTTCTAGTAAGAAACAGCCTATTTCCTATCAACTTTACAGTATGAATATTTTTTCCATAGTTCATCAATATGTATGTTTTAAAAATAGGTTGAAACATAGAATTAAAAAATTAGTTGTGTTTTCATGAACTACTTTATTTCTACTCGCAGCGTATTTGCACACATAGCAAGTGTAATTCCTACCCACTATTAGTGTCGTGCAGGAATGACACTTGCATAATATTTAGTAGGCCCAAGGCAGATTCAGTCCTAAGACTTGGTTCACGTGTGCTTGTAGGAGTAGAATCATACTTGAATATGTGTGTATATATATATGCAGTCATTATTAACTTTGATAATTTGTTGTGTAATAGGCCGCAGTGTCCTTCAGATGTAAAAAATTGTAGTGACTTTGTGCAGATATTCTATATTTGAAGATGCAGATGATACTGCAGTTTTGTGATGTAAAAGCTGTTTTGCAGTTAAACTAATTCTGAAGTGCAAGAAAGCAATTGTAAATTGCAGTATATAAACTAGATATAAACAATAAGGAAACCTAATGAATCTGTGAACACCTTTTCATGTATAGGTCCCATGGATGTCCCTGGGACAAGCTGTAATCTTTATGCAGACTTGCAGGCCTGCAGAACTCAGTATGCTGAGAAAAAAAGTTAAACTGCAGAGAAACAGATGAAAATATACAAATGTGCGCGGTCACTAGATCCTTGCATGCAGTTTTCTACAACTCTGGACCTTCATCAAAGACTCCGTTCTGGATTCACAGAGATAAAAGCAGTTCAATCAAATCACTGCCCGGTGGGGACTAGGTCTGATTAAGGCCTGCATATGACTATCTATTTATAGGTTGTTCTAATAGTTTAAGATATTCTGAAATTTTATCACTTGTTTAATATTGTAATTTGATGAAGATAGTATCTCTTAAAAAGATTTCTAAAACACTGTATCAGAGAAACAGGGACCAGGTTATTAACAGAAAAATATGAAGGTGGGGTTTTTTTTGACATTCCACAATATTGTTCACTAGTAACAGTTAATAACCTGAATTGGCATTAGACACTAGGCTTTCATTGTTGCTGTGAACTTACAGACACGCACCTCTACCCCTTCAATACTTAAATGGCTTGCATTGCCTGAGGATCTAAGTATTGCCTAAGTATTTTTTTTAAATTCTCTCTTTTTCACTGTCGGGAAACTGAGGCATAGGGCAGCTGCAGGGTGGAATTTAAAATTGCTTCTACATTTGAGGTCAGAGGCACTAGTTCTTAAAATAGCTACTAACATAATGTTTAGCAGATCAGTTCAGTTGCTTAAACATAGGTATCTAGTACCAGTTGAGATACTGTAGGGAATCCAGGAGATCCAGATGGGGCTGACAGATATTACTGAGGACCAGAGACACACAGAGCCTTCATGACTAACAGCTGGCGTCCAGGTGGGATACCACAGAGTATCTCAGATGGATCTAGAGTCCTGATGCTTATGCAGCTGAAAGGAATCGTAAATGTTGTAGGTCACACAGAGTTTGTGACATGTCTAGGAACTGAATATAGATGTCTTGAGTTTCCACCTAGTATCTTAGTTACATATGCATTTCTTTTCCTTCTAATAATTTTCTGTATTTGTATGCATCCTGTGAACTTACCTGCACAAGTATTTGCCTGGTTTCACAGTGCTAGGCATGGACTACCTTCTCAATTCCCCTTAGCTGCGTGGTTTGGATATAGTTTTGAGTTAAGTTTTTACTTTTCTTTCTCCCTTCCTCTCTCTCTTTCTTTCTTTGTTTCTTCTCTTTCATTTTTTACTAGGTCTGGAGGTTTATTAGTCAGCTGAAATTTATCTGGAGACTGTCCTCTCTCAGGTGTCATTCCTGGGATTTGCTGTCCTGGAATACCCAGTAATTCTTCTTGCCTTTAATCTCTCTGGAGGATCTTAAACTCTGTATCAGGTATAAAGGGCAGAAGCAATTTTATTTCTTTAGAGTGAAATGCACCTGAAAGAAATTGTCTATGTGCATTGGCTCCAAGTCCTGCACTTATAGAGACTACCGCAGCTTTTATCCAAAAATACCTGGTGCAGAGATTGATGATTTGGGCATTAGATGAAAGCTTGAAAGAGTGAGTCAGTCTGCCAACATCTTTCTTAAATTAGCCATGCTGCAGA